TAATGATATGCCGAGTAAATAGATACCAAACATGACATGCTTTAAAACTGCGCATTCCCCGTTCAATGGCGCGACAAACTGCAAACATTTTTAATATCCATAGGCAGCACTTTAAAAGCCACCATTTTAGATTTACAGAGGAGGTCTAGTGTTAGAATTACTGCCCCTGATCTGACGTTCGCGGCAATACCTCACATGCATTTTTTTTAATCACTTTTAATGCTATAACAGGGAATGCAAATATCCCCTATAACCTCAATGGACATTGTAATATTCTTTTTTGAGAAATCTGGGGTCTATCAGACTCTGCATCTCTCCTCTGCCCTTACATTATCTAATCAAACCAAGATCGGTGATCAGATGCTTTTCCAATTCACAAATGGCGCTGTTTATATCCTGCGAAACTGAAGTGATGAAATGCTCGTAGCTTCCGAATTCTTAGATTATAGAGATGATTGGCGCCACTCTGGTCTCCAATCAGCTCTATGGTCAGCTGTCAAAAACACCGGCTGCATTTTCAGGTTTCCCTGATGGCACGGGACTGCCCGAGAAGGCCGTGGAAGGCAGCGGGGAGGGGGGACATCATATCCCGCTGCTTGTAAAAGCAATCCTGCAGCTAATTAGCCGCTAGGATTGCTTTCACATAAAAGCTGATCGCCGGCTGAAAAAAAAACAACACCAGGATGAGTTCTGCAGCTGTAGGCATCATCCTGGTATAACCATTCAAAGTCCAGGGATGTACCAGTACATCGCTGGTTCTTGTTGGGTATATATACTATGTTCTTTTTTTTCATATGCAGCCTGTGGACTGAATGAAAAAAGAGAAGAAATCTCTAGCAGAAAAAGTGTGTGGTATGCCCACCATTAGAATATACCACCCTGCATCCACCCACTTCTAATGGTGGGCACACATTAGGTCACACGGTGCCACATGAGCCAGTTCCAAGATTGAACAAATGTCTAAATAGTGGCACGCTTGAATAAAAATTGTCCACGTATAAGTGGTACCCCATATGGAGATATGATGACACCAAGTCCCAAACTATCTTGTCACTGCTCCCCATGTAGTCTGGGCATCTGGGGGGGGCTCCACGTGACTATCTTTTCCCTCATAAATCCGAAACTTATAAGTATAGCCTGATATCCTCTCACAGGTCTTCTACATCTTGACCCCATATCTGGCACGCTTGCAGGGGAGAAATTGTTTGAATGCAAGGCGGCCAGAAAAATGAATGAGGGACTCATCAACGCAGATGTTTTGCTGGGGAGTATAGACACCTGCAAATTTTAGGTTAAGGTGATTTGCGAGGGGGTGAATTTTGTAGAGCCGGTCAAATTCAGGGTCACCTCAAGGATGACAGAGTGTATTGTCATTGAAATGCATAAAACACATTATACTCATATCTATGCCTGGCCATGGCAGCAGAGAACACGGCATATGATGAATGGGGTCTGTGGACCAATACAACCGCAATTCATTTCTTTTAGTAATGCCCATGTTGAGGGTTAGGACCAAAAAAATGTAAATTTGAAAACCATAATAAGTTTCCATGCGAATGGTCTGGAAAGGTTTGAATTTGGGTTGGTGGCGATAAATTGTTGTGCATATAAACTGCTTTGATCCACAATCAACGCATACAGATATTCTGTGAAAAACAGCTCCAAAAATCAAGGAGGTATGTGAAAGACCAAGATGTACTAGACCGCTGGTACTCGCCAGTTCACCAAAAGGTAGCGTGGCACTAGTACTGGCACTCTGCTGCATATGAGAGTCATCAAAATTTACCGGCAAGTGCTAACAGAGATCAGGCCTGATTCTGCGACCATACATTTGTGTGCAATGTATCAAGTGACAGTGACGTACTGACACTGCATTTGCTGGGGGAGAAGGGGGGGTAAGCGTAGGGGCTAAACGCAGGTGTTGGCAGGTGCCGGGGCTGATCCCACTAATGCTGCACTTTTGGGGACGCTATACTAATGTGAACGCTGGTATAGTGCTGATCTGATCAAAGATATTGACCCGTTCAGACACTATACTAGCATTGGAGGTTTATTGTACATGAGTGTGCTCCTGGCAATCAAGGGGTTAAATGTGATGACTGGTGTACTGATGGGCAATCTGACGCTATCTGGGAGGGGTGTGAAAACCATGGGAGCGCAAATCACGTATATATATATATGTGATTTTGCGTACCCATACCGCCCCTGTAGTAGTATTTCTGCTGTAGGGTGGTCAGGAAGTGGTTACAGAAGATGTTTGTGTTACGGCGCTGCGTTACTTTAACGGACAATTGCACGGTCATGCAACACTGCACCCAAATTAAATTTACATCCTTTTTTTCCCACAAATTGAGCTTTCTTTCGGTGGTATTTGATTGCCTGTGCGTTTTTAATTTTTTGCGCTTAAAAAAAAAGGCTGACAATTTTTAGAAAAAAAAACAATATTTTGGACTTTTTGCTATAAAACAGTCCAGTAAAAAAAATAAAAAAAATAAATTTTGTTACAAATTTTGTCCAAAATGCATTCTGCGACATGTCTCTGCTAAAAAAATATCCCAATATGTGTAAATTAATTGGTTTACATGAAAGTTATAGCATTTACAAATGGCGGGAAAGATACTGGGATTTTTAATTTTTTTTTATACTAATAATGGCGGCGATCAGCAACATATGGCGGTGATCAGTGACTTATGGCGGCAATCAGCGACTTATGGCGGCAATCAGCGACTTATGGCGGCAATCAGTGACTTATGGCGGTGATCAGCAACTTATGGCAGGACTGCGGCGTACGTTTTGACACTGGGGGGGAACTGACTTGGGGTCACTGACATCCCCAGTGACACCAATACAGTGATCAGTGAAAAAAAAACCCACTGACACTGTACTAATGGCACTGGGGAGGAAGGGGTTAACATTTTTAGGGTTTACTGTGTGAGGGGAGTGTTTTACTAGGGGGCGGGGGGTGTGTGTGCTGGACGGGGGCAGGCTGATCAAGAGAGAAAAACTCTTCTCTCCCTCTTCAGCTTGTCACGAGCTGTCAGGGAACTGACACAGAGCAGGGCTGAGTGTGTAAACAATGCAGCCCCTGCTCTCTGTCAGCGATCACCGTGAATCGCGGGGAAGCGGCCGGTAATGACCGGCTGTGACCCGGCGGCAGAGACCCGCTGCTGACACCCGCGGGACAGGTAGGGCGGGCACGCGCCTCACATGCGCCCCCTACCTGTTTTGCAAAAACACGTTTTAAAACGTGGTTTGTGCAGCCGTGCCGCCCTGCAAACGTACATATGCAGTGGCTGAGGATGAAGAGGTTAAAGAGTCCCTAAAAATGAGAAACAATGGCTGTGAGATGACAGAGCTGAATTCTTTAAGGCCCCGTGGGTGTCTGCCATCCGGTCCACGGGCTTTATTCACCTTTATTCTGTCTAAATATTTCTGGATCATATCAATTGTGAGCCAATGTGGATCATCTGGGGGGTGTCAGTACCACCCCCCATTATCGACAAGAGCCCCCCACGCTCCTTTGTATACACAGAGCTGAAGAAGGGATTTCATACATTGTCCTTCTCTTTGTCCCCAGTCACCCCCTCTAGATGGTTCTGTAAAGGGCCTACATGCTGGGACCGGACCTTTCTACTATTCATAGATTGGAGGAATGTTTTGGGGTCGTCCTGATAGCTTTCTGTTGTTCGTTTTCAATTTTTGCTCCTTTATTTCCTTTTTTGCATTCTGTTCTATTCTTTGTAATGTGTAAACGATGATCGCGTTCCTTCATTGTTATATTTAATAAAAGCTCTTTTCTTATTATCTATCGCTTTTGTAACTTTGGCCGTAAGCCACATAGGTTGGATTTGTAGCCTTTTATACTTGTTGCCCATGGGAATATATTTTGCAGTGTGGTCACATACAGACTTTTTGAAGAACTCCCATTTCTGTGTTGTGTTCATCAATGCCAATATTCCCTCCCAGTCTAAGTCTTGGAGAGCAGCTCTCAGCCTTGGAAAATTAACTCTCTTAAAGTTGAGCATTTTTATTTTCCCCGTATGTGCTCACTGTTTACAGCTAACAATAAATGAAATCATGTTATGGTCACTGCTACCCAGATGTTCTTTTATATGGACATTCGTAATAAGCTCTGCATGGTTGGAGATGACCATGTCCAGCAGAGCATTATTCCTAGTTGGGGCCTCTATGAACTGCACCATAAAATTGTCCTGTAGTAGGTTTATACATTTTTTTTGCCCTTTAACTGTTCCTGCAGTACCATTACTCCAGTCACTTTCTGGGTAGTTACCATCCCCCATTATTATCACTGTCCCAGCCCTTTCCATCTGTGGGAGGAGCTGAGTCTCCACCTCCTCATTAACACTGGGAGGCCTATAACAAACTCCAATGATGACCTTTGTAGTACGCCCCCCATGTGCAGTTCCACCCATAATACTTCAGCCTCATCACACTCTCCATCAACTAGGTCCTCTTTCACACTCGCTCTGAGATCACTTCTCACATAGAGACAGACACCACCACCTTTCCTATTTCCTCCGTCTCTCCGAAAGAGAACCTAGCCAGGAATATGAATGGCCCAGTCATGTGAGGAATGAAGCCAAGATTCAGCAATACCAATTCAATCCTAGTTCTCTTCATGCACCAAACCTTCCAACTCACCGATTGTGCTGGGCAGACTTCTGGCAGTGGGGAACAAACACTTTCATTTCACTGACACCTTGTTCACACGGTTTTTGTGTAATTTTTATTTTCATACAAATGGTACCAATTCCACTGGTTGTTTATAACATGGGAACCTTCTTACCATCTGCCATAGTCCTCCCCCATCTTTCCCCATTCCAACCCCAATAAGTACTGACCCCTGTCTGATCTGTCTTCCCCATTATAATCCCAGATGTACAGGAAGACAGGACTTCAGTGAGGAACATTTCCCTCACTCAGGACAGGAATGTGGCTTCTCCCCCGTGTGAGATCTTTGATGTGGGTAAACATGGGACTTCTGTGAAAAACATTTCCCACACTCAGGACAAGAATATGGCTTCTCCCCCGTGTGAGATCTTTTATGTGTGTAAAGATGGGACTTCTGTGAAAAACATTTCTCGCACTCAGGACAGGAATATGGCTTCTCTCCAATGTGAGATCTCTGATGTCTGTAAAGATAGGACTTATCTGAAAAACATTTTAAGCACTCAGAACAAGAATACGGCTTCTCCCCCGTGTGAGTTCTTTGATGTGTGTAAAGACTGGACTTTACTGAAAAACATTTCCCACACTCAGGACATGAATATGGCTTCTCCCCCGTGTGAGTTCTTTGATGTCTGTAAAGTCTGGCCTTCTCTGAAAAACATTTCCCACACTCAGGACAGGAATATGGCTTCTCCCCCGTGTGAGATCTCTGATGTGTATAAAGACTGCACTTCACTGAAAAAGATTTCCCACACTCAGGACAAGAATATGGCTTCACCCCCGTGTGAGTTCTTTGATGTGTGCAAAGTCTGGCCTTCTCTGAAAAAGATTTCCCACACTCTCAGGACAGGAATATGGCTTCTCCCCCGTGTGAGTTCTTTGATGTATGTGAAAACTGGACTTCACTGAAAAACTTTTCCCACACTCAGGACAGGAATACGGCTTCTCCCCCGTGTGAGTTCTTTGATGTGTGTGAAAACTAGACTTCACTGAAAAACATTTTCCGCACTCTGTACAGAAATACGGCTTCTCTCCTGTGTGAGATCTTTTATGCCTATTAAGAACAGCTTTAGAACAGAACCTCTTCCCGCACTCAGTACAGGAGAATCTCTTCCCTGTTGGAAGGCTTGCCCGGTCCCACACAGTCTGAGGTTCCTCAGGATCCGAGGAATCCGATGGTCCATCTACACTGGGTGGTGCCGGATGGACATTGGAGGGAGCCAGGTTTTTCTCCTAGACTATACTGTGTGATGTCCTCATCTTCTACTTTCCAGTCTGGAGACAAAGTGAGACAATCCTCTGAGGTTTTCCTCATCTCCCGGCCATGGACTAAAATACAAAGACAAAGAGGATTACTAGACAGGAGCTGATTGGTTCCCCCAAACCAGGACTCCGCCCACATCAGGCAGCTTGGTCTCTGAGGGGCTTACAATTCCCCCCTCAAGGGAACTAGGAAATGGCTCCTCTGATCTCCTACCAGGTCATTTCTTTATTCATGGACCTTAGTCAGAGAGTGAGGAAACAACCAGAACTGTCTTTTATAGGAGGGACAGTGATGAGGGGATTATAGGACGAGGGTCCCCACCCCCTCTATCACTCATCGCCATCTTCCCAACACAAGAAGTACTGCACTTCCTTATTTAGTCCATGATTTAGTCATGAAGAACAGCAGGGCTGAGCCCCACCAGGGGTCAGAGAGTGAGGATGGGGGAGAACAACCAAGATGGACTGATCCTGAAGACCACCATCATTGGGGTATTGACTCCTCCCTCATTATCACTGTTTAAGGGTCCAAAGTTGGAGGATGTTATCACATTATTATCACCATGTAAAAGTCTGTGCTCCAATCACATCATCCGATATAAAATGTCCAGCGGGTAAGAAATGGGTGTAACAAAAGAGAATCCATATCATGTTGTCATGGAAATTTTCTACTTACAGGTTGAACTTTAAATGTGTCATATATTAGTGTTATACAAATCCACCACCACCACAAACGATTGAATGAACTCACCAGAGCTATTTGCTGGTCAAATTATAAACCAGCAACAGCGCTTGTGCTCTGGGAGCGATGAATAATGATGTCCAATTAGTAGATGTAGTAATACTCAATCACTTTCCAAGTAATCAATAATAGTAAGCAGCCTGAGGAATACTATATCCCGATCATAGAAAATACTCTGCAGCCAAAGGATCTCATGGGAAATTTCTCCACTCCATTTCATACCTCCATATATACATGCAGCACACTCAGGAACAAAGAAGAGAACATAATGGTGCCGTACGTTTTTACCATTTATCTATTTAATAATAAAAAAAGCTCATAAAAAACTCACAAACAAGGTGTCCAGACAGACACCAGCTTAAACTGCAATGCTGAACAGAGGTGAGGTACAAATACCGCTCACCACGGATCACCTCCACCGAACAATGGACAAGGAGCGTTCTGACATCGAGTAGGCCACGCCCAACGCGTTTCGTCACCACGTCATCAAGGGGCGTACAGATGGAAACATCAGATGGCTCATACAAATACCGCTGTACATTTACATAATGCTAATGACCCGCCAATCACCGCGGCGCTGTCTCACTCCACCACCGCTCGATTAATCAGGTCATTAGAACTCTCCATTCAGTCCGCTCCACACAAATGTAGATAGGATGAATAAATGGCTGAATCCAAACCTTTGTGTGTCTGACCCTCCACAGTGAAACGCTACTGAAGGGCCACCCACACAAACATACAAAAATTCAATACATTTTATCGTGTGTATGGCTCTCCCCCCCGCTCGTAACAACATTAAAGGGGGCCATACACACAACTTAAAGCATCACTCTTCTCATAAAGAAAAAAAAAAAATATATATCAAATATATATAAGAAACAGTCATTAATATACACACAAAAGGAAGGGAATAGACAACCTAATTCCTATTTCCCCTGCATGTAAATACTAATACAAGGAATGAATATAAAATAAAATAAAAATTAAAAAAAAAAAAATATATAAAAAAAACCACCATCTTCCTAAAATTATAATCTCCAAAACATATAAAATATATGTGTAGCCAGTTCCCATCCTCCAATCTCTATAGCTAGCCACTATATTTAAAAATTAGTCAAAAAACAATTCAAATCAATATCTATATTTAAACCTTTTGGTACTAAAGAATCCAGTTCATATATCCAAAACGTCTCTTTCTTGGATATTTCTTTAATCAAATCAGTACCCTCCAATGTCTTTCTGCTCTCTCAATACCATAAAATGTCGCTAAACTTGGATCACTATTGTGTTTTCATTTGAAATGTCTTCAGACTCTGTGTTTCTCAAATCCTCTTTTTATATTATTCAAATGTTCATTTATCCTAGTTTTTAACTGTCTCCCCCTGTTCTTCCTATATACTGACATTGACACGGGCATTCTAAAACATATATTACATGAGAGGAATTACATGAAATAAGTTGTATCAATACTATATTCCTTTTTTGTTATATTTGAAACAAATTTCTTCCTTTTTATTTTCCCAGATCTATTAACCGTTCTACATGCTTTACATTTGTTACAATAAACAAAGCCCTTAAGATCAGGGAAGAAGTTTACTTCTTTAGGTGGATCTAAAACATTATGTACCAATTTCCTCCTTACAGATCTATTTTTTCTTATAAATAAATTTAGGTCTTTCAGGAATAATCTTTTTCAGTGTCTCATCTTTTAACAAAATTGGCCAACATTTTTTAAAAATACCCTCAAACTTTTTATATTGATTATTAAAGTTGGTAATAAAGGCAATATCAAATCTATCATTTTTAATCTTTCTCTTATGAAGGCCATAGACGGGGAAAAAACGGCCGATTTTTCTTTTAAAACTTCCCTTTCAGCCACCAAAAAAATCAGTCGTTCCTTTTCGTCATCATCATCCTCTTCTTCTTCTGCTACTTCTTCATCATCATCCTCTTCTTCTACTTCATCATCATCCTCTTTCTTCTTCATCATCATCAGCGCTCTCTTCTTTTAATCATCCTCTTCTTCTTCATCATCATCCAATCCTAAAATTTCTTCTTCACTTTCTTCATCATCATCATACCTCTTCTTTTCTTCTACTTCAATCATCCTCTTCTTCTTTTTTTCTTCTTCATTATCATAACTCTCTTCTTCTACTTCATCATCATCTCTTCTTCATCATCATCATCATCCTCTTCTTTCATCCTTCCTCCTCTTAAAATTTTCTTCTTCATCATCATTGTTCTTCATCCTCTTCTTCTTCTACATCATCATCCTCTTCTTCTTCGTCATCATCATCATCCTAGGATGTCTTCTTTACTTCTTCTTCATCATCATTATCTCTTCATCATCATCATCCTCTTCTGGTATAGATTCTTCTTCTGATACTTCTTCTTCTTCATCATCATTTCTTCTTCTTCTTCTTCATCATCATCATCCTCTTCTTCTTCATCATCATCATCCCCTTCTTCATCATCATCCTCTTTTCTTCATCATCATCCTCTTCTTCTTTTTCTACTTCATCATCATCCTCTTCTTCTTTCATCATCATCCTCTTCTTTCATCTCATCATCCTTCTTCTTTTCTTCTACTACTTCTTCATCATCATCCCCTTCTTCTTCTTCATCGACACTTCTTCTTCTTCATCATGAAATCTTCCTCATCTTCATCATCATCCTCTTATTCATTTCATCCTTTTTTTTCACCATCATCATCCTCTTATTCACCATCATCATCCTCTTCTTCTTCTTTCATCCTCTTCTTCTTCATCATCATCTTCATCCTCTTCTTCTTCTTTTTGTCTTCCTTTGCAGGTCACGGCTCATGCGCAGATTTTTTATCGGTAAAAAATCGGCCGATTTGCCCATTATTGCCGCAAAAATCGCCGATTGGCAAAATCGGCCGATTTTTTTTTTGCTTACCGATAAAAAAAACCGGCCAAAATACGAAAAACGACTGAACAAATAGCCCCCAATAACGATCCGAAAATCGGCCGATTTTAATTTCGCCCGAAAAATCGGCCGATTTTCGACCCATCTATGGCCTGCATTAGACAGGAAACTACTCGGATCTTCTATCTTTTCTATCAATAACTTCCCTTTCAGCCACCTCTGGGTTTTTTATATCCTTTATCAATAAACCTGTCTATCAATAGATCGGTTTGGTCAACAAAATCTTTCCTTAAACTACAGTTTCTTTTAATCCTCGTAAACTGGCTCCTTGGGGTATTATATAGCCATTTAGGATGATGTCCACTAGAAACTGGAATGGAGCTGTTTTTATCAATATCTTTAACAAAAGATTTAGTATAAATCTGTCCCTCATATTTATAGAAGTTTAAATCCAGGAATTAACCCGTTCAAAATCCTTCGTAACTGTAAACTTTAAACCATAACAATTCTCATTAATACAATGTGAAAATACATGAAGATCTATTTCAGAGCCCCTCCAAAGCCCCTCCAGATAAATGGTAGAAACGTACGGCACCATTATGTTCTCTTCTTTGTTCCTGAGTGTGCTGCATGTATATATGGAGGTATGAAATGGAGTGGAGACATTTCCCATGAGATCCTTTGGCTGCAGAGTATTTTCTATGATGGGGATATAGTATTCCTCAGGCTGCTTACTATTATTGATTACTTGGAAAGTGATTGAGTATTACTACATCTACTAATTGGACATCATTATTCATCGCTCCCAGAGCACAAGCGCTGTTGCAGGTTTATAATTTGACCAGCAAATAGCTCTGGTGAGTTCATTCCATCGTTTTTGGTGGTGGATTTCTCAGTGTTATGAAGTCACTGAAGATTATTTTTGAACACTAATAGAAATATTTATATATTGTTTTTGGACACTATATTTATTTTACACACCATGTGGTTTTTGGATATTTTATTTATTTTTTGGTCACTTTATATATGGTGATAGATATATTTATATAATTTATTAATAGCGCATGCCCTTATGATATAATTGTTCAGAGGGGTAAAAGTGCCCAGTATGGAAGGGGTTAGTGGGGTACCCCAAGGTTCAGTTTTATTAGTGGGGTACCCAAAGGTTCAGTGTTATTAGTGGGGTACCCAAAGGTTCAGAGTTATTAGTGGGGTTCCCCAAGGTTCAGTGTTATTAGTGGGGCACCCCAGGTTCAGTGTTATTAGTGGGGTACCCCAAGTTCAGAGTTATTAGTGGGGTTCCCCAAGGTTCAGTGTTATTAGTGGGGTACCCCAATGTTCAGTGTTATTAGTGGGGTACCCCAAGGGTTCAGTGTTATTAGTGGGGTTCCCCAAGGTTCAGTGTTATTAGTGGGGTACCCCAAGGTTCAGTGTTATTAGTGGGGTACCCCAAGGGTTCAGTGTTATTAGTGGGGTACCCCAAGGCTCAGTGTTATTAGTGGGGTACCCCAGGGTTCAGTGTTATTAGTGGGGTACCCCAAGGTTCAGTGTTATTAGTGGGTACCCCAAGGTTCAGTGTTATTAGTGGGGTACCCCAAGGTTCAGTGTTATTAGTGGGGTACCCCAGGGTTCAGTGTTGGGACCCTTACTTAATAATATATATATAAACAATATGGGGTGTGAGATTATAAATCCCATTCCAGTCTTTGCAGATGACACCAAGCTGTGCCGGGGAATAACGTCCTTACAGGATGTCTCCAACTTACAAGCCGACCTCAATGCTCTGTGTAATTGGGGGGCTATGGGGCCAATGAGGCTAATGGTGATAAATGTAAGATTCTGCACTTGGGGGCTAAGAATATATGCATCATACATACTAGGGGGTACAACTGGGGAGTCAATGGTGGAGAAGGATCTGGGGGTGGTCAATGGTAGAAAAGGATCTGGGGGGTCAATGGTGGAGAAGTATCTGGGGGGCAATAGTGGAGAAGGATCTGGGGAGGTCAATGGTGGTGAAGCATCTGGGGTGGTCAATGGTGGAGAAGGATCTGGGGGGTTAATGGTGTAGAAGGATTTGGAGGGTCAATAGTGGAGGAAGATTTGGGGGGGTCAATGGTAGAGAAGGATCTGGGGGGGTCAATGGTAGAGAAGGATCTGGGGGGTCAATGGTGGAGAAGGATCTGGGGGGCAATGGTGGAGAAGGATCTGGGGGTTATGGTAGATTACCAGCTTAATAATGGCAGCAATGCAAAGCTGCGGGTTCTAAAGCGAGCAAAATCCTGTCTTGTATTAGGAGAGTTATAGACTCCAGAGAGAGAGATATCATCAATTCACAAAAAGAACATTGGGGAACTGGAGGAACTGTACAGAGAAGGGGGCATCCCAAACTGATACGAGGGGGCATGGAGGAGAGATCAGCTATGAGGAGAGATTAGAGGAACTGAATGTATTCTCTACTGAGAAGAGGAGATTAAGGGGGGATATGATCTCCATGTATAATACATAAGGGGGGATATGATCTATGATACATAAGGGGGGATATGATCTCCAGTATAATACATAAGGGGGGATATGATCTCCATGTATAATACATAAGGGGGGGATATGATCTCCATGTATAATACATAAGGGGGGATATGATCTCCATGTATAATACATAAGGGGGGATATGATCTCCATGTATAATACATAAGGGGGGATATGATCTCCATGTATAATACATAGGGGGGATATGATCTGTATAATACATAAGGGGGGATATGATCACCATGTATAATACATAAGGGGGATATGAATACATGTATAATACATAAGGGGGGATATGATCACCATGTATAATACATAAGGGGGGATATGATCTCCATGTATAATACATAAGGGGGGGGATATGATCTCCATGTATAATACATAAGGGGGGTGATATGATCTCCATGTATAATACATAAGGGGGGATATGATCTCCATGTATAATACATAAGGGGGGATATGATCTCCATGTATAATACATAAGGGGGGATATGATCTCCATGTATAATACATAAGGGGGGATATGATCTCCATGTATAATACATAAGGGGGGATATGATCTCCATGTATAATACATAAGGGGGGATATGATCTCCATGTATAATACATAAGGGGGATATGATCTCCATGTATAATACATAAGGGGGGATATGATCTCCATGTATAATACATAAGGGGGGATATGATCTCCATGTATAATACATAAGGGGGGATATGATCTCCATGTATAATACATAAGGGGGGGATATGATCTCCATGTATAATACATAAGGGGGGATATGATCTCCATGTATAATACATAAGGGGGGATATGAATACATAAGGGGGATATGATCTCCATGTATAATACATAAGGGGGATATGATCTCCATGTATAATACATAAGGGGGGATATGATCTCCATGTATAATACATAAGGGGGGATATGATCTCCATGTATAATACATAAGGGGGGATATGATCTCCATGTATAATACATAAGGGGGGATATGATCTCCATGTATAATACATAAGGGGGGATATGATCTCCATGTATAATACATAAAGGGGGGATATGATCTCCATGTATAATACATAAGGGGGGATATGATCTCCATGTATAATACATAAGGGGGGATATGATCTCCATGTATAATACATGAGGGGGATATGATCTCCATGTATAATACATAAGGGGGGATATGATCTCCATGTATAATACATAAGGGGGGGATGATCTCATGTATAATACATAAGGGGGGATATGATCTCCATGTATAATACATAAGGGGGGATATGATCTCCATGTATAATACATAAGGGGGGATATGATCTCCATGATATGATCTAATACATAAGGGGGGGGTTGCTGTAGGAAAGTCCTGGATTCTTTCTTGGATACACAGAATATAACTGGATATAACATTTATAGGGAAAGTTGATCCAGGGGATATCCGATTGCCTCTCGGGGGGATCAGGAAGGGATTTTTTCCCCTGCAGGAGCAGATTGGATTGTGCTTTGCTGGGTTTTTGCCTTCTGGTGGATCAGCTGTGGGTGTCGGATTATAACTTTTATTTTTAATGGTACAACTAGATGGATGTCTTTTTTCAGCCAGACTAACTATGTAACTATGTAGGTCCCACACCGCTGCCTCCATCTCCTGAGACTGCACTCAGTGACTTGGGTCTGAGACACTACAGACATATCCCTCCACCCGGCACAGCCAGGTGACAAATACTGGGAAAATTGCTATGTCACCACCATGAGGAATAAGATCAAAAGCACATGTCCCAGGTGCCTAGGTCTAGTAACACTTATGGTGAAAATGAACATTTTGCTGCCAGCTGAAACCCCAGAACCTCCATAAATCCAGTCTAGATACATAAATTGTGTCTGCAGCACAGAGAAGGAAGATTATCCGAGAGAAATCCAGGAATACAGGACGGGGAACACAGCTCAGGAAAGTGACCAGGGGATTACAGGCTGATATCACCCAGTCCCCGCCCTACTCTGGACCAATCAGTGAGCAGTATGGGTGGAGGAATGGATTTAGTGTTCATGACCCACCTGTGCTGATCTCTGTAGGAGTGTCCTCCTCTATAAATGTCCCCGTTATTCCATCCTCCTCCATAGACTGCTGATCATCCCTCACATACGCCTCTTCTTCTTCTGCTTTCACCTCAAACTTTTATATCAATGGATCTTCAACCTAAAACAAAATAAAGGAATATGAGAGAAAGTTCATCTGTAAAACATGAACTCCAATAGCATCACATAAAAAAATCACATCACATTGTCTATGAGTCCATGTTCTGAGATGCTCCATCCCACCAACCTTGTAATAGTGAGGGATGGTGTGACCTTCCTGTGTGGAATCCCGGGAATACAGAGGACGGGGACATCTCTCTGGTGGGTTCCTGGTATTAGGTGGCTCCATCATATCCTTGTGTCCTTCTGAAAACTCCTCCATCACTCCATACTCCTCATCCTCCTCTTTATACTCTTCTTTAACATCAATATTATCATCCCCGAGGATTCCACTCTGAAAGATATAATAAAACATTCATTGTAACAAACATGCTGTGTATAAATCACAACTACCAATAATTGTCATCATCTACCTGATGATGGTGAGGGATGGTGTGACCTTCCTGTGTGGAATCCCGGGAATACAGAGGACGGGGACATCTCTCTGGTGGGTTCCCATGACTGGATCCATCTGTAGGAAACACACACACTGACTGAATCCATTGTTTCTATGTGTTTATCAGATGATGGGGGATCTAGGTGGATCCTCCGTACTGCTCTCTTTAAAGGGGGGATCCTTTACAATAAAGTCTCCTCTTACCGGTGATGTGAGGGGCGGCTGATTGTCCATCATGACGTCCTTGTAGAGATCCTTGTGTCCTTCTAAATATTGATTTGTATCATCAACGTGTGTATTATTATCTGCTGGAGATAAAAGACATCACAGTGACTATGGAGGAAAGAGGACAGACATGAATGGGGGGTTACTGGGTATAAATAGAACATAACATCTTTATTACCCCCTCTGCTGCCATGTCCACCAATGTCTCCAATATCCTTCACACCGCATGCCACAGCCTGTCTTTTTTCCAGATGACTTCCTGTGTGTTCCTGACGAGACAGACTACCCAGAATGTCCCGTCCTTCATATCAGAGAGAGACAGACTACCCAGAATGTCCCATCCTTCATATCAGAGAGAGACAGACTACCCAGAATGTCCGTCCTTCATATCAGAGAGAGACACCAGAATGTCCCATCCTTCATATCAGAGAGAGACAGACTACCAGAATGTCCCGTCCTTCATATCAGAGAGAGAGACAGACTACCCAGAATGTCCCGTCCTTCATATCAGAGAGAGAGACAGACTACCCAGAATGTCCCATCCTTCATATCAGAGAGAGAGACAGACTACCCAGAATGTCCCGTCCTTCATATCAGAGAGAGAGACAGACTACCCAGAATGTCCCATCCTTCATATCAGAGAGAGACAGACTACCCAGAATGTCCCATCCTTCATATCAGAGAGAGAGACAGACTACCCAGAATGTCCCGTCCTTCATATCAGAGAGAGACAGACTACCCAGAATGTCCATCCTTCATATCAGAGAGAGACAGACTACCCAGAATGTCCCATCCTTCATATCAGAGAGAGACAGACTACCCAGAATGTCCCATCCTTCATATCAGAGAGAGACAGACTACCAGAATGTCCCGTCCTTCATATCAGAGAGAGACAGACTACCAGAATGTCCCATCCTTCATATCAGAGAGAGACAGACTACCCAGAATGTCCCGTCCTTCATATCAGAGAGAGACAGACTACCCAGAATGTCCCGTCCTTCATATCAGAGAGAGACAGACTACCCAGAATGTCCCGTCCTTCATATCAGAGAGAGAGAGACAGACTACCCAGAATGTCCCATCCTTCATATATCAGATGACAGAGAGAGAGAGACCCAGAATGTCCCGTCCTTCATATCAGAGAGAGACAGACTACCCAGAATGTCCCATCCTTCATATCAGAGAGAGATTACAGACTACCCAGAATGTCCCAGTCCTTCATATCAGAGAGAGAGACAGAGACATATCAGTACCCAAATGACTACCCAGAATGTCCCGTCCTTCATATCAGAGAGAGAGACAGACTACCCAGAATGTCCCGTCCTTCATATCAGACTACCCAGAATGTCCCGTCCTTCATATCAGACAGAATGTCCCGTCCTTCATATCAGAGAGACAGACTACTACCCAGAATGTCCCGTCCTTCATATCAGAGAGAGAGACAGACTACCCAGAATGTCCCATCCTTCATATCAGAGAGAGAGACAGACTACCCAGAATGTCCCCCGTCCTTCATATCAGAGGCCGGGACAGACAGACTACCCAGAATGTCCCATCCTTCATATCAGAGAGAGACAGACTACCCAGAATGTCCCGTCCTTCATATCAGAGAGACAGACTACCCAGAACATCCTTCATATCAGAGAGAGACAGACTACCCAGAATGTCCCATCCTTCATATCAGAGAGAGACAGACTACCCAGAATGTCCCGTCCTTCATATCAGAGATACAGAGACAGACTACCCAGAATGTCACAGACTCCCTTTGGCCATCCAGAGAGAAGAGACAGAGACAGACTACCCAGAATGTGAGAGACAGACTACCCAGAAGTCCTCCATATCAGAGAGAGACAGACTACCCAGAATGTCCCGTCCTTCATATCAGAGAGAGAGACAGTGACTCCCCCCAGAATGTCCAGTCCTTCATATCAGAGAGAGACAGACAGACTACCCAGAATGTCCCGTCCTTCATATCAGAGAGACAGAATATAGAGACAGACTACCCAGAACTACCCAGAATCCCGTCCTTCATATCAGAGAGAGACAGACTACCCAGAATGTCCCATCCTTCATATCAGAGAGAGACAGACTACCCAGAATGTCCCATCCTTCATATCAGAGAGAGACAGACTACCCAGAATGTCCCATCCTTCATATCAGAGACCAGAGACAGACTACCCAGAATGTCCCATCCTTCATATCAGAGAGAGACAGACTACCCAGAATGTCCCATCCTTCATATCAGAGAGAGACAGACTACCCAGAATGTCCCGTCCTTCATATCAGAGAGAGACAGACTACCCAGAATGTCCCACCCTTCATATCAGAGAAGAGAGACAGACTACCCAGAATGTCCCGTCCTTCATATCAGAGAGAGAGACAGACTACCCAGAATGTCCGTCCTTCATATCAGAGAGAGACAGACTACCCAGAATGTCCCATCCTTCATATCAGAGAGAGAGACAGACTACCCAGAATGTCCCATCCTTCATATCAGAGACGAGACACAGACTACCAGAATGTCCCATCCTTCATATCAGAGAGAGACAGACTACCCAGAATGTCCCATCTTCTTCATATCAGAGAGAGACAGACTACTACCCAGAATGTCCCATCCTTCCTATCAGAGAGAGACAGACTACCCAGAATGTCCCATCCTTCCTATCAGAGAGAGACAGACTACCCAGAATGTCCCATCCTTCCTATCAGAGAGAGACAGACTACCCAGAAATGTCCCGTCCTTCCTATCAGAGAGAGAGACAGACTACCCAGAATGTCCCATCCTTCCTATCAGAGAGAGAGAGACAGACTACCCAGAATGTCCCGTCCTCCTTCCTATCAGAGAGAGACAGACTACCCAGAATGTCCCATCCTTCATATCAGAGAGAGACAGACTACCCAGAATGTCCCGTCCTTCATATCAGAGAGAGAGACAGACTCCCAGAATGTCCCGTCCTTCATATCAGAGAGAGACAGACTACCCAGAATGTCCCGTCCTTTATCAGAGAAAGAGACAGACTACCCAGAATGTCCCATCCTTCATATCAGAGAGAGACAGACTACCCCAATGTCCCATCCTTCCTATCAGAGAGAGACAGACTACCCAGAATGTCCCATCCTTCATATCAGAGAGAGACAGACTACCCAGAATGTCCCCCATCCTTCATATCAGAGAGAGAGAGACAGACCCAGAATGTCCCATCCATCTTCATATCAGACAGCCAGCCAGCTCTTGAAGGCTGGTAGGAAAGAACCCTAAGAGTACCTAAGGGCTTGACTAGAAGAGGAGAAAGTGCCAAGACACCTCCACAGGGGTAAGAAGTGAGAAGAAATATGGCGCAACCCATATGGTGCACAAAACACCAGCAGGTCATAAGGATGCACAGGGACCCATGTGCCTAAACACCCATCGGTGCCTCTAAGCAAAACTGCCTACATCTAATCATGGAGCATGGTCCAACAAAGCATCCTCAGCTGAGGAGAGGGGAAGGGGGGGAAGGGATCCTAGATTGTCTACCTGATTAGGAACAGGAGCAAGGGAAGGAGTCTGGAGGAACGCACATCGGTCATCAAATGAGAACTTAAGCTCCAGTGACCAGGTCCCACAAAGGTCTCCAGGCAGACCCCCCTACCTGCTGAGGGGGGCTAGCAGCAGGACCCAAGCATGATCTTCTTGCTGACAATGTGGAGAGCACAGGGCCATCCAGCAATTAAATCTTCCTGCCAGGTGGGAAATCAACAGCTTTCAGGTACTGAATCAGAAGAGAACCAGACGACAAATTCTTATCTCCAAGGAGGACAGCATAGTGAAACGTAACACTCTCAGTGTAGTACAGCATAGGGACTAGGCCACTAGACCTGCCACAGGGAAAACTCCCAGACCTTTCCATAGGGGAAGACTCTTCAACACGTGAGGGATTTCCAGTGGAGCTCAGGTCAGAGTACCAAGTCATGGAGGGGATGCTTGATGAGACAGGAACTGTTCTCAGGAAACAGATTGGAGCCCCAAGACTTTCATGGTGAAGGGAAGAAATAAACTGCCCCTTTCAGACAAAAAGGCAGACAGGTAATATCTGGAAGTACTTGGTCTAGAGAGACCATTTGGATGTTTTGCCCCAAGTTCAGGCTCCCAGGCATGAGGGGTTGATGACAAGCACTGAGTTACAATTGAAAAAGGGAGTCTAAATTATGAGAGTAATCCCTTGGCACCCTACACACCCTGAAAGATGAGGGAGGGAGAATGATCCTGACTTATAAGGGGAGGAATTAAAACCCTAAAGCACAGGTGTCAAACTGATGACCCTCCAACTGTTGCCAAACTTCAAGTCCCATGAGGCATTGCAAGATTGACAGTTACAAGCATGACTCCCAAAGGCAGAGGCATGATGGGACTTGTAGGTAACACTGGAAAAAACCCCTGCCCTAAAGGAAAGGCCTGCCCAACAGTGACCTTAAAAAACCCAAGGCCTGGAACAAGAGGCTGATTCTACAGATGATGGGTAGTACATCTATAAGGTTTGAAACAACCCTGGTAAATCTGTGTCCACTTCAGGAGACTGCAATGACCCCAACCAGAGGTAGATTGTTGGAATTCTCAGAGACAGTGACAAGGTCAACATGGCCAGCATGAATAGAAGTTTTAGGCCAATCACAGACATAATCTGCAGGGGACCATGTGGAGCCTTTGAGGGCATAGAGTGCCCGATATCTGAGCAAAAACAGCCAGAAAGTCCAAAGTGGAGACTGAGGTCCCTGTGGACATGGGGGATACCTTGGCCACACACGAGAGAGCTTTGGTAGACTTCAATAAAGATGATCCAGTGACAATAGGGGTCCAATTTCTGAAGCTACAGGTGTCAATTCCTTTCTGAGAAAACCAATAAATGCGCACAGAACCTCAGGACTATCAAAGCCGAAGTTCATGGCAATGGCACCTGGAAGCTGATTGGGTTTCTAGTGCAGAAGACAGTCTGATTTTTGCACCTGTTTAGTAAATAAAACTAGGGGTCCAAGGTTCTGAATTACAAGGTGTCAATTCCTTCTCAAGGAA